GCCCACGAGTACAAGGCAAGACAATTCCTAAAGCAAACTCCAACCGTCATGTGATCACATAAACAGAGCATTACAAATGGCTTTAGGAGTCCTTTTTACAAGTCGCGCAGAAATTTTATCCCGGGATCATGTGCCCTTTTGACGTAGTGCTTTATTCTTTTAAGACTTAAGGACTTTATACCTAATTCTTTTTTAATGATTTCTGTTGGTAGGTCTACGTATTTGCATTTTTTATGCTTAGTTGTTAAGCTTGATTAATTGTGTTCGCGAAAATATCAAATCTTGATTCTGGCTGGTTGGGTGTTTTAAGACGTTTTCCTATTTTTGTATTGGTTCCATAGTTGGCCTTTAGTTGGTTGTGCTTGTTGTGGTTTTTCCGTGTCGCTCAAGGGAAGTTGTGAGAATCAGTACAATGGATCGCGCTTTCATGTTTCACCTACGCCAGCACCTCGTACGCAACGACCTGAAAACCAAAACCGAGAAGGATCAGTGTCGTACCGAGGCATTAGTGAAGAAAGCCTATTGTGAAAAACTAGAAAAGTGGGGCGAAACGGCGATGCGTCTCTTCAAAGTGGAGCATTTAAACTACCTATCCAAGCGTTTGACTGATCTCCCGGAGAGTATCGAACACCTAGATGCTAGTCAACCTTGGCTGGCCTATTGGATGGTTCACTCATTACGTCTTCTCTGCTATCAGATTTCTGATAAAGTTAAAACAGGAGTAATTAATCTAATGAAAAGCTGTCAGCATTTACGAGGAGGATTCGCGGGTGGACCTTATCAATTAGCACACTTGGCTCCGACCTACGGTGCAGTGAATTGCTTGGCTTCGCTGCTCTCCGCCGATGCTTTAGATGTTATCGATCGCCAAGCTTTGGGTGACTGGTTAGTCTCACTTCGGCAGCCCGATGGTTCTTTCGTAATGCATCATGGTGGCGAGGTGGATGTACGTGGGGCCTACTGTGCCGTGGCGACGGCTTCGATTACCGGAGTGCTTAAATCTCGACAGAATATTTTCAAAGGAACGGCGGAGTGGATTGCTCGATGCCAGGTTTGTTGAAGTTGTTTCTCTTTAAACTGCAAAAGCTCCGTTTCCGCAAAACGTCAGTGTCTTTCTTGGGGTGGTTCAACTGACCTAATGTCCAGTTTTGCCTTCTTAATCATATTTTATTCGCGTCTCAGCTCGAACTGAGTTGATTTGGTAGTTTCTAATTTGTTCAGCACTTGCCATCTGGAGCATTTAATATCACAGGGTTTTTTTACAAAAAAAACTGTACAGAATATATTTGGCTACTGAATACCTAAGTAAGGGGTGAGTTGCATTCTATGCATCATTGCCCATTCCGTAGTTGACTGCCTGTTAATTATTGCTTAAGGTCTGCGTAAGCTTTGAAGTGTGAAGGAATAGGTTAATTGACTGCACTAAACCTATTAACCTCTTTCAATGGATGATCTGTCTGGACCATTAACCGGGGATTCTAGCTTCGTGTGTGTGCAGATTGCCACGTTAATGTGAGCTTCGTTGCATTACAGCATTACTGGCCTAGCTCTCCAAGCAGTTTCAAACATGATCTGATTTTGCTTGTAGGTCAATAGTTCGATTCCAGAGTTCCAGATTTCTAAGTCGTAAGGTTCTTCTGTGTCTTGCTTCCCCGTACCTTCTCATCTCAGTCGTTGCGATATTTTCATTAACATGATCTTTGCTGCCGTTTTTGCCCTGAATAGTGGCAATAATGTGCTTAAGTGGTTTTCTTTTTTTTACTATTTGAACTCCCGTACTTGCCATAGAGGTCGGACTTTCTTACCTTTTAACATGGCTTTCAATTCTAAGACGAATATGAGTTCATATTTCTGTCATGCCCTGAAAAGTTTCCAAGAAGAGCGTATTGGGAGCGCAGCCTAATCTTTTTTTAACTTTTTTCGTTTAAAGGAAAGTTTCCTTCATAAACTTATCTTTTAGTGTGTTATAATGTGCAAGATGAGGCAGAAGTTTCAAATCCTTTTGGACACCTGATTTGCCGCAACCACCACCATGAAAAATGACGATAGAACGCTGAGGTTACTTTGCGAGAATGTAGCAGTAGCAGTGGACAAGGTTTATAGAATAAATGAAGGTGAGTTGTGGGTCTATCAACGCCCTAATCTGCAACAACCTCAAGTTTGTTGAAGTGTGTGCTCGCGTGATTAATACATGAGCAATAACTACTAACTTTTCCCTCAATCACTCCGATTATTTGGAAGGTGATGTCATATTTTTATTATCGCATTGTCAGGGAAGTATAAATAGCTCCGATATAACTCGTTGTGCTGCCAAGTTACCTCGAAATAACCAACATTTGAGAGGATAGTTATATGGCTCTTCTTCCTTTCGATCTGACGATAATGGTGTTTGTTTCAATCCGCCTGAAGTATCATCATTTACTGAAGAAAATGTATTACGTCACATAATAAAGTTGGCGAGGTTGGGTCTCGTATATTCTGCACAAATTTTATTCATTTTCAGTGTCTCCTCTCAGTGACTTCTTTTGCGTAATAAAATTTAAGGTATGCAATGATTGAAGCTATTAAATAAGCATACTATTTGGAACGAGAGTGTATGATAGATAGTTGGCAATAACGTTGCCTGCATTTTAGGTTGATTTGCGGCTGGCTGAATGAGCATGAATGTTGGTTGTCGTTGGTTGACTTCTCATCACCCAGTCTTAATATACGCACCATTCCATACTCAGAAAATTGTGTTGGATTCATTTGTGCGTAAAATAATTACCTCAGTCTGGTTTTACTGGTGTTCTGTCCATTTTCTTATGTCGACGCCATGAATGGTTATCTATCATTGTTTTCACCGTCATTGTCGCCTCGGCTTCTCTATCTGTTGTCTTATTGATTTTATTATTTTCAACCAATCGACTTTTCGTCTTGGTGTTGGCTAATCTAGTCGTTCTCTTCACAGACATATGAGGGCGGCTTTGGTGGTCAACCGGGCCTGGAGGCACACGGTGGTTACTCTTTTTGCGCTTTTGCTGCTCTCTATCTCCTCGACGCTATCCATCTCGTTGATGTTCCGCGTCTCCTTCGTTGGGCTGCACACCGTCAAATGCCCACCGAAGGTGGTTTCCAGGTTTGTCTGGCTTTCATTTCTGGTAGATTGGTGAGACCGTGGCAACATGTACTAGGCTAATCTTACAATATCAATCAGTACTGATAAATGCAAGGAGCAGTCTCTGAACCATAGTGTTATTTTTACGTGTGACGGTCATCGTCTGATTTGTTAATGCACTGAGCATCTGCTTGTTCTAGTAGCTTAACATTTTCGATGTGCATATTCGAGGCGGGCCCTGTGAAAATCTCAAGTGGTGTATGCAGCCTTAATTCGTTCTCTCGCTATTTCTTCTGATTGAAGGTTGATTTAAAAATTAAGTGGTGTTATGCACTGCTTAACAGAAGATAAGTTCTATTTATGGATTGTATCCGGTGGTTGAGAAAGCTTATGACGTTTATGATGCAAGCCTCTTCGAGACAGTGTCTTGTTTACGCACTATTCATCATTGTTGGTTGAATCTATCATACTTTTAACTTTTCGTCTCTAAAGGTGTGTTCAACTCGATCTCAATATGGCGTAGATTCCTTGTTAGTTTTATTGAGTTGCAATCGCTTTCACGCATGACTTGATTCAAAAACAGCTTAATCCTTTGTATTTGTTAATAATCATGGGCCGTGTCTCCATTTACCCATAAATTAAATGTTAGCCTGTCGGTTAAAATATTCGGCGTTGATTTGGAAGTGGTGTAACAGCTTGTTTAAATCTTCCAGGAGAGTTGCGACAGGCCAATAAATGAATTCGAGCACGTGACAGTTTTTTTAATTCGTGGCTCACCTCTCAATCTCTCCCATTTTGTAAAGATGTGGCATGCATCTTCAAGTATTTTATGACAGATTTGTTGATATTGCAACGCTCTCCACTTGAACGAGCATACCTGTTGTCGACTAGGCATTTTCACTCACCAACTCGGCCTATATGTCTACGACCTGCGTCGTTTACTACTTAGGAGACTGTAATTATTGCATTTATGACTGCCTTACTAGTTTTGTGAGCGCCAACGCCTAGCACGTTGGGTGGACCTAGACTTTCCTAGGTATAAGTGGATAATATGAAGAGACAGTTAAGTATATTAAGCAGATAAAAGTGACATTTCTGAAAGATGGTGTACTTTTATTGTAATTCAAAATGTATCTGAGTGAACTCCGCATTGTAACACAGGGTGGGAGAGCAATACTGCCGTATTGTCGTTCTCCGCATCATCCTCACTGTCCTGCAGAATGCGACTTTAAATTTTTACATATTTACATGAAAAGTATAAACTTAGATGTCATACTTGCAGCAATTGGGTGTCATATGCTATAGAATTAAATTTCTCATGCCAAATTTGATAGCCTTTATAAGAGCTCTGAATGCCAATAGATCGACTGGTTATTATAATCTGCTTTCATTTTCTATCTTAACTCTTAGGAAACAAACCGAAGTAATGGGTAGTTTGTTAATACCTTCCAGCATACAACGTTGGAAGCTATCAAAATGAAGGTCAATGGGTTCGCTTTTGTTGCATGCTAGTATGCATCCTTGTGGGGTACCTCCATGCAGTTCAACAATGGGACCGTTATAGTGATTGAAAGACTTCAGAATTTGTGGGTTATTTCCGGAGGTCATTCTTTTTCCAGTAAAAAAATTGGCACATTATCGTTGTTATTCCTCTTACGACTACCTTAAATTTTGCTACTCATTATACCTTTGATGCTGAGTATGGAGAATTATGTATACTCGCAGGCCCCATAAGGTTAGTCGGTGAGTGATTTGCTCAATGTGCCACTTTGTGCCGAAAAATGTAAACGCTTGTGAAGTAGTTCCATACGACGCAGTCTGCATTCACTTCCCTGGAGCTGTTCATTCCTCCATCTCGCTACTTTCTCACGCAACATTTTTCTTTGAGTCTTTCCTTTTTGAGTTTGTCCAGTGAATTTTATGCTTCCTGTCCCTTTAGTCGTTTCAGCTACTCACCCGACTATTCATCTGTTAACCACTTATTCTTCCTTTCAGCACTTCTCATTTTTTTTATTTGATTGCCGGTACAAGCACGCCTTTTTATTGATAGTCCTAAGGAGAATTGAACAGCTGGAAGGCTGCTGGAGGTGGGCGCAATAGCTATCATTGCTTTTGGGGATCTATGTCGCTTTTCCATCTTCTCTTTTATAGGGTCGGACACACAAACTGGTAGACAGTTGCTACTCCTTCTGGGTGGGCGCTATCTTTCCGTTGATGGACCAGGTTCTTCGCAGTGATACTGATACAACTAATGCTCCAGAGACAGCGCTCTTCGATACGTCTGCATTGCAAGTAGGCGACGATTGTGAATGGTTGAGGGGAAACTGTAGGCAAATTGTTAATTTTACCGATAAGTCATCGCAAATAGGTCTTCAAACTTCAAATCATCAGTCAGTATAGAGGTGTGGACATAGTCCAGATTGCTTTTTTGTAGAAGACACGACCCTTAACATGATTCCCTAATTGTGAGGATACTTTTTGAAAGATCTTCAAGTCACTTTAACTTCCATGCCGATATCGAATCAATTGTTGTACGGATGCTTTAATAGTCTCGAAACAGGCATCCAACAATGCCATAATTCCTTTGTTGATCGAGAATTTGAGTAAGGTGCTCTCCTAGTAGGTTGAGTTTCATAACTTCGTTTTACCTTGAGGCCTTTTTTATTAGCCTTTTTGGCAGATTCGCCTTTGGTCGCCATCTTTTAGCGCCCAATGATGTTACAGTGATTTGTGGCTAATTAGAGGACGAAGTCTTTCCGAAATAGTCGATCAACCAACAAGTTTTTAAAAACAGACATTTTGAACGTCTGGACAAACTTTGATAAGTCTATTTGATAACTTCCACTGAAACCGTCAAGGCTCTTCCAAATGATCCTTTCTGCATTCCTAAAATTTTCCTTTTTTTACTCTCAGGAATATGTCCTCCTTTGTTGTCAGAAGGTTCATTACACTCGTCCAGGTCTATCAGTTCCAAACAACCAACTGTCTGTGATTGATACCAGCGGAGGTGGCCTTTTCGATAAGCCTGGCAAGAATGTTGACCCCTATCACACCTGCTATGCCCTCAGTGGTCTCTCCGTTGCCCAGCACTGCCCTCGTACCCTCAACCCCAGCACTATTATCTTTCCCGACATCCCCTTTCACCCTGCTCCCTCGCGTGACGTCGCCGGCGCCCAATGGGGCAATGAGTTAGCCGACATCGACCCCTCTCTCAATGTTGTTCTCGACGCCGTGGTCTTTGCTAAGACCTATTTCAGTCTCATTGACTCGGGTACAGACCGCAAGGTAGCCGCTCAATGCGCCACTGAATCTGCCAACAAGGTCTCCTTCAAACAGTTAATCTACGATGACAACAAAACCAACGATGGGGCCGTTCCGGGAGCTTGCGACCTCGTGGACCACCTACCACACATCTGTACTTCCCCATGATATGAATCGAATTCGCAGAGAACATTTAATAAATCCTTTTTGCAAACCTTGCCTTAAATTTTCCTCAGGGATTGGACGCAAAGGTATTAATATTAGTAGTAATATTAGCAGTTATATAGGTATGTGTTACATTTTAGTGTGTGGAGGAGGAGGGCAATACAGGAGGTTTAGTAGAGCGAGAAGGGAAGTTGAAGGGGAAAACGAAGGGATTGGGCGAGGGCAAAACAAACTCGCACGCAGCAAAAGAGACAACTACACGAGGGAATAACGAGGGTGGAGCAGCAGTGGAGTAAAATTAAAACATCCGAAGTGGGTGTGCGTGAGTGGCTGAGGGCAATTTTACACAGTGGATATAAAACACGAGGTCGTCGTTCGTTTGTTGGGCTTGCTTTGTGCTCTGCAACGGGAGGAAAGGAAACTAGTGGCAGTTGTGGCTGTAGTCGGCAGTTTGTACGAAGGAAATGCATCGTCGTCACCAACATTACCAGCGGCAGTAGGTTTACGGCTGTCGCTAAGAGAGATAGTTGACGGAGAGAGCAACAAAATGCGGTCGACGTTTGTACAAACACGCGCACGCACTCAGACAGAAGAATAAAAAGGGAGGAGATCATTCCGGCTTGCTGAGGTCCAATACGTCGCCGTCTCCGGCACTACTGCTGCCACCGCCTTCACCGGTGGCAACAATGGCTGGCTTGCCACCACTTCCGGCGCCACTTATTACTTCCTCTTCATCCCCTGGAATGGGCTCCTCTTCTTCCGTCTCCTGCCTCGAGGTTAATTGCGCAGGTGGTTGTGGACTGGAAGCGGACACCTCAGTAATCTTCTCTGGAGTCGACTGAGAGTTCATGGCCGCCGAGCCGAATACAGAGGATAGAAGATTGGACATTTGCTGACGCTGAAATGCGTCCGATGATCCTATTACTGCCGTGTTTGACGAAGAAGTAGAAGGAGTAGAACCAGAATTGCCAGCCGCATTCGTATTGGAATTGCTTCCAGTGGTGAAGTGTTGCCCATAGAGAGAGGGATTGTACATGTACGCCGCGGCAACAAAAGACGCCGCCTGTTGGTACGCTGTCAGGACAGACTGCAAGTTTTCAGGTGTCAACTGACCCGCCGCAGCAGATGAAGATGATGTAGAGGGAACCAAAGACACTCCCGTACCACCGCTTCGCTTTGCTTGGTCATCTGTTAAAAAATGTTTTGAAGCCATCAAGACCTGAGTTTAACAAGGGCTACATAGGAGAGACTGACGCACCCATAGTTATTAGATCGGAGGCATTTGAGGCTGAAGATTTCGTCTCACTAGAATTGGATGGTTTCTCCGAATCAATGGATTTCTGTTGGGCGGACGAAGGAGCTGAAGAAGCAGCCGCTACTGCAGCTGCTGCTGCTGCCTGCGAGTAGCCCAGCGCGGAAGCGATTAAGCTCGCATAGGCTGGATTTCCTGAATAGGCTGAGGCAGCAACAAAGGCAAGCAACTGCTTCTGCTGATGCTCCATCAGCTCACTCGTCGAAGCAGTAGGTGTAGACGCAGTTGGTCGCTGGCTACTACTACTTGCAGCATAACTAGCTACCTTACTTAACACACTAGACATGTAGTGCCGATAAGCAAGCGCCTCCATTGCTGAAGTGTCCTGTCCACGAGCCTTCGCAACTCGGTTAAAAATAACTTGATCCTCAGGCTCCACAGAATACGGCATGTAATCCGGATGGGCTTCTAACCAGGCCTCCAAGTGCCGTCGTTTTGGCGCCTTCTCTCCGTGGATCAAGTTTCCATTAACCAGAGAGATAAGGGGAACATTGACCTCCCAGGCAGAAGATTCTGGTGGCGGGAGAGAAGTTTTGGTTTCCGTAGCCTCAAACTTTCGTTTCCTGCCACGTGTTGAACCAGGGGAACTACGTGGAGGCAACATCTGACCGCCTCTTGAACCTCTCCCACGGGTTGGTAGTGGACTGTCTGAGTTTTTAGCCGCGGCCGCCAACGAAGCAGCAGAAGCAAAGTCTTCGCGAGAGTAAGTTCCCACACCACCGCCTCTAGAACCGCGACCACGCCCACGGCCTCCTCGAGAACCACGACCTCCACCTCTTCCACCACGAGAAGAGACCACAGCGGGTGACGTCTGCGTTCCAGTGCCAATATCTGACTGATGTCCACTGGCTGAAGCATTACCCGCCACTACAGCCGCTTGAAATGCAAGAACCTGATCTATGCTGGTGTATCCGGCGGCGGAAAGGGCAGCCAAAGTGGCTGCTTCTGTTGACGTTAGAGCCTTCTTCTGGGTAGAGATGTCGGGTGAACTTGGAGGGGCTGGAGAGACATCACGACTGCCTCCTCCCGTAGAATCAGCGAGGTGGTATCGACCCAACTCCTCTACATTGTTAAGGATGTAGCGCCGCGGGAGAGGCCAATGACCTGTTTCGATGCATTGACAGACCATCTCCAAACGGTTGTGGATAGCACGATCCTTAGGCCATCCTACGGCCAGACTAGTGGCGAACTGAAGGGACCACTTGAAGTGCTCGTTGTTTGTAGACTTGATATCGGGTAATGGGGAGTCTGGATTGGGTTCAGTGGGAATGACTGCATTCGTGCAGTCTTCAAAACTTCCACTTTCTAAGCGACAGATTGCTCAGTTATGAGAGCTTAAATTTTGGATGAATAGAATCCAAAGGAACCAGTTAACTTACCAGGTTGGTTTTCAATCGAACTCCCTTGATTTTCCAATTCTTTCCTCGCCGATCCAAAAGACACGGAACCCTCAGAGCGGGAGACATTAGCAGCATCAATTTTGGCTTCCAATTCGGCTGCAACCGCTCGCGCAGCGACGGAAGCCGCAGCAGCCAAGCTGGCCCTAGCTTCCACTTCGCTAACACTCAAGGAACCGCCAACAATTGTATCTGTGGATGTGCTTGCTGTGGGCGGAGCAACGCCATGAAGAGCGGAGGGATTCTTCAACAACTGCCGTCTGACCAAAGCCGAGACGCGTGAAAAACTAAACTTTTTGTCCGGAAGGATGTTCAAGTCAGTTCGAGCCAAGCCGTGCCTTAAAAATGCAAAACAGATGTTCACAGAATGCTTCGACCGCAAGACATTCAATTCTCACTCGTTCAATAAAGTGTACGCGTACTCCATACATCAAGAGGAAACAGTTCAAAATATGGAGTGGATCAAAAGTGATTTGCTCGCAAAATGCAACGGGTCAGAATTTAATGTTAATGTTAATGTCCACCTAGGTTTTAGTGGATTCCTCAGATTATCCTAGCTGTACAAAGAAGATTGAAAACGGTAGTTGGGGCGCATTCGTAAGTATGAACATCCCAATTCTCAAGCAGTAGTGTTTTGTAGAGAAACAAAATTGTAAAAGAGAGGTACGTTTACTGAAAAGATAAGAGTAGACAAAGTTTTCGACTCTATTCTAATCTGTCCATCTTTTAATCACTTTGCCAAGATGAGTAGGACGTATGCAGGCTTACGAATGTATGAGCTAGACAAATAGCTTATCGTATCTCGAAAATCTTGAAAAATGAATAATGAGAGATGATTTGCAGTTGCGATGACTAAGATTAGGCAAATTTGAGAGAAAGGATGGCGAAAGGAGCAGTGCAGAATGCAGATGTGTAGGCACTCACATACAGGGCCAGAAGGGCACAGTGAGTCACCACTTAAGTGCGACCAAATTAATGCTCGCGTGCACGCGGTCATAAAAAAGCCAGGATATTTGAAGCTGTCTATAGCTACGCCGCCTTCAGCACTGCTATTGCCGAAAGAACTGAAATGCTCACCTAGCCACTGCTTGCAAAAGTTCGCGGTCATGCTGCCCTGGCACCCACCATTCAGGAAGGTCGGAGGATCGTTGGCATAGTGCCAAACGCTCATCTAGGTGCTCGTGAGTGAGGATGTTGTTGCGAATGCGGTTGAGCAGCTTGATCCGTGAAAGGGTACGCGTCGCACGCTCCTCAGAAATGGGTGCCACAGGTATCACTTCGTCTGCGGGACAGGAACCATAAGTCGTGGTCGTTGGTAGTGAACACACTGGTGCCGGCATGCCTACAGACAAGTAGTGAGATCCCAATAAGCAAATCATTAAAATCAACATGTAGAAAATGGGATTGCCTGTAGTTACGCAAACGTATACACACGCGCATGAAGAGGGTAGAGAAGCAAGGGAAGAAAGCTCTTTATCATATTGCCTTCTCTCATATTCATATACCACCAAGACGAATGAATGTTGGCTTGCACGCACGCTTACATGGGAACGACACGTACGCACAAAGCAACCGACTGCCTAGCCGACCAACCAACAGAAAACTTTGGTTTCAAAAAAGGACACATAACGGGCCATGGATGCATTCACGTAGGAAGCGTGCGCGCACAGGCATATGATGTAGGGGTGTGAGATAATTTCGAATACTAGATACACGCGCGGCACGCGCTTATGAAAGGGAAGAAGCGAGATTTAGCCAGCTAGCTAGTAGGCGAACTAGCAAGTAAGCAAGCAAGATTGAAAGGTAGATGATGATGCGTATGTGTATACGCATGCGTGCGGACGTGAGTGTCCGGTCGGACGGACGACGGAGGAATGAGATTGATTTCGCCCAACGCAAGCGCACGCACGCAGAGAGCGTATAGTTTTATAACAAAAGTTTTCTAAACGCCTGCCTGCTCACCACGATAGGTGGTAGTTGCAGTGGCGGCAGTGCAAAGGATAGCAGTGCGAGCGCATGAACGCCTGCTCACGCACGCACGCGCCCACCGAATTGAGGAGCCAATTAACGAGGGTTAGAGTGAATAAAGTGAGGAGTGAAAAAGAGGACTGATCAATGCCTCGTGTATTTGTATACACACACCGCACAAGCTCGGAGCCTGCGGGTCAAGAAACTACCAATTGCCACTTATACACTTGCGACCGTAAATGTGTTTAGAAAGCTGAGTGCCCGAGCATCGAAACGTGGTGGCAGGATTGAGTACATGGTCAAAAGGGATATTGTAAAGATACTATCAATAGTAGCAGCAACATCAACCAACTAATGGCTTGTGTTTGGTGGAACGAGCAAAAATCAATGGCTAAACCATCCCAACAATGACGCCAACTGCAATGGCCACAATGTTAGTGATTATGATTATGATGATGGCCATGATTTAAAGACAAGACAGTGCATGTGCTTGCATGCATGTTTGCGTGCCCGCGCAGGCATATTAGCGTGCGCGCAGAGGCGAGAGTTGGATGAAATACTCCAGAGCCTCACATCCAGCAGAGCACTGTTTAATTAAAAAGTCGAGGCGGCGTATAAGATGCCACTTGCAGAAGCATGGATCAATGATGAGATGAAATACTGGGAGGGATGGTGTTCGTGGCTGTGTCCACATAGCGTCATCAGACACACAGGACTGTGATGAGTCACAAGCACCAAAGGCTGATGTAACGGCGTAGTGTCAGAAGGCACGGCTAACTCGATGAAAGTAGCTATGGTCACTTTGGTGAATGAATGAGTGAACGCCATGAGAGAAAATAGGCAAATTCGATTTAACGTGCGGAATGCATCAGAGCAGCATGGAATAAGTTCAACCAATTCGAAAGCCCTTGAACGTTTACATGCAAACAAGGGAGAGCAAATCAACGAAAGCAAGGGAGGATGATTCATTCAAGGCACCGTAACAGTTACAACAGGAAAACTACATAACGGACTGTCATCAGTATGGCTTGCACAGAAAATCAAATCACACTCCATCAGTGGTAAAAGCGGCAACTAGACTTCTGGTAACTATGGCGCAAAAGCTAGAGCAAATGCCTATCAATACATCTTTTCCATCTTAAGACATTCAATAATGGCGTTCCAAATATGCAGTTTGTTCATTTTTATTTTCTGTTTGAGTGATGAGATGGCCTTCGGATTCAGGGATAATCGCATCAGATTTAGCAGGAAATAGAACGATTGGATTTCAGTAGCCTACTTCCCCAACTCTGACCATCCATAGGATGCTGAAGTGCATTGGAACTCTCGCTTAGAACTTCAAAACAATTTACAAAAGAGTCATCCACTTATTGTGGGATTCATTAAACTTCCTAAACATTAAGCATTTTTGCCGCTCAGACAATTACCAGATCCCATATCATATCTACCAGAATGGCTTGGTTTTATGAATGAAACCGCCGTCCGGATAGGACGTTAAAACACCCTTCAGCATTAGGCCATGGTCTGGTCAATGTAACTTTGAAATTTCACGGAAGTGTAATAGCTCCTGTGGAAATAAATGACCCACATAAGGCCGTTAAAACTGTGCACACAAACACCAGTAGATAAATGCACTAATTAGATCGACTTCATTAGGAGACGTTTTCACGCATGACTGATGAAATGGGAGGGGTAGAAAGAGACTCACCTTCCGGCAGAGGCTCATTGCAGACGCGATGGCACATGGTGAGGAATGAATTATAGTACTCGGTGATAGCCTGATCAGACTTCTTTGAGAGGTTGGCAAGTACCTTGAAGTTAGTCCAATTGTAGCCTACAAACACACGACCAACACCTGGTCGTCGTGATGATGTTGGCGAGTGAGGAGGGCTTCGAAGCACCTGCTCCACTCCAAAACTCGAGACCACGCGATAGAAATCGGCCTCCTCTCGACGGGACCATTTTCTGTAAGTAAATACTCAATTATTTCTCTTCGTTAGAAACACGGAGCGCAAAGAAAGAAAAAATGGATTACATAATTCGTTGCTCCAAGTACGGTTGTGCAGTAACAGAGGGAATGCATTCGGAGCGAAGGTTGTGTACCGCTTCCAATTCAACCTGTGCCCTAACTCGTTGAAAGTATGCGATGAGCTTCCGCATGCGACTGTTAAGATCGACTACAGCTGGGAAGAGGAGGAGAGGTGGGGGCAATTGGGCCTCAGTCTCAACGTCGCCCACTTCCGCCTTTATGTCCTCACTTTTTGGTCTTAAAGTGGAGACAGTAGCATCGTCGGCTGCAATAGCCAATGTCTTCTCATCATCATCTTCCTCTTCAGTTTCCTCAGGTCTCAATGTTGGGTCAGCGTCCCCACCTTCCTCATGTTCCTCCATTTTCATCTTTATGCCAGCGACACCCTTTAGAGTACCAATCGTGGAAGGAATGGGAATTGAGGGCGCGTTCGAGCCGTATATACGATGGTAGAAGCAGAAGGCGGGATCATCGCGAATTGCAAAGTACTTTTCCCATCCGTGTTTAAAAACACCGAGGAGGAGACACTTGTCGCAACATGAGTCCCACCAATCCGCCGGCACATCAGCGTCAAGGGCTACAGGAAAGTGAGGGCTTCAACAAACACACCTGAATTAAAGAATGTTTATGGTACAGGAATTACTCACCTTTGAGAGGAGGAAGACTTTCCGCTAATTGTGTGAAAATAGAGTGGTCAAGAGACCCGTCACAGAGACCATCGGCGTGTTCGAGACCGACAATTTCAGTGTGAAGGAAGTAGAGAGTATAGACTCTCGCCAACAAACGGCCTCCAGCTCGCACCAAATGACGTTTGAAAGAGTCACTAGTTATCCCAAAATCAACTTGATCCAAATCCTCCTCCCGCTTTGAAACGTCATGTGAGTGATCTTCCTGCTTTGGGGTGTTCGCAGTGGAAGCAGGATCCATATCGAAATTGAGTGCAGTAGGAGTAGTAGGAGTACTTGGACCGTTAGGAGAGTCCGTTCCAAGACTCCCAACTCTCAATCCAGCCCGCCTACCACGTCGAACCACAACGCCACAACCAGTATTTGCAGAACTAATACCCCCAGGGCCCCTCCACGACACCTCGTTGCTGGAAGCCTTCAAAGATTGCACTACATCTGCAATCGTTCGAAGACCATTCACATCGGCAGAATTTATCATTTCCATGACCACAGAACGCACTCTCGCGTCCCCACCGCTAGTTAATACCGGTGTTACCTTCAAAGCATAGCCAAGGATGCACCGAGCAATTCGCTGCATCTCCATTTCTGATATGGCTCGCTTGAAGGGAAAGCAGTCGATGGCATGAGCCCACCGTCCCCAACTCCATGTGAAGAGACACTTCTCTACTCGAAATAGGTCTACTCGATCGATAGACTCTCCAATGCCCTCCTCGTTGCGTCGGGACTTCTTGCTCTTCTTGTGTTTTATCTTAGAGGAAGAAGCAGTGTTGCCAATGGTAGCCCCGCTGGCCCTAGAGTCACCGCCATCGTCATCTGCACCCGTACTCTCGCCTGAGCTATTTTCGCCGTCACTGGATTCAGCGTTGCTACCCCCACCATTATTGCCATTGGGTAGACGAGAAGCGCATTGCGAGTGCGTCAGGCTATTGCTTGACTGCTGTTCGTTCAGTTCAGCTGTGTAGCGGTGCGTTTGACGACGCTGACGTGGTGTTGTCATTATCAGATCCTTTAAAAATCAGAACATACCAGGTCTGATATAACGTATTTACAACCGTCACTATGATGAAACACAAAATGACGTACTCATTCGTAATGCGCCCAACAGCTGTAGTAATGAAACTTGGCAGCTTAATTATCTCCTACTTTTACTACTCAAGAGTATTAGCCTGAATCAAGCAATCAGAAGAATGGCAATAAATTAGACAAAAAATGATAACACCAAAGAGAGGCAGTCAGTACTCCAACAGGATGAAAAAAATCGGCGCCAACCAAGCATGTAGAAATCTTGACTTAAGGCTACGATAATTTCTAAGCAAAGTAGGATGAAGGATAACACAGGTGCTCCAAATGGAGAGCAACCTATCAACTGAAAATATAAAGACCGATCGAGGTGAATGCTGCTGATCGTATTGATTAAATGCCCTAACAGCTTACGCTGCAGGTAGTTGAAACTGAGGGTCGACTGCGAAAAAAGCCATCAAAACACCACCGACTTTTGGCGGGCCTCCAGTTTAGATTTCTGCATAATGGCTACCGAAGGAGCAAGGTTAGGTTTCACTGCACCGAAAGAGATTTCATATAATATCTCAAGTGAGTCACTCCTTAATGCATTCATTCAAGATGACCAACAAAATCAGCAGCCTATACTAGAGGAAATGATGGCGCTGTTAAATCACCGTTTCTAAAGCACGACCAGGATTCGCAATGCTCGAACCAAGTTACTGTACAAAGAACCGAGATGATGCACAAGGGAGACCAGTAGCAAAACAGCACTTCTTCTATGCCCATTTTTTATCACTATTCTCTTAGCCTGGAGATCCATCCAAGCCAATGTTAGTTCAGGCCTTTTATAGGCAAATTATAAACCAACTTCCAGGCCAATCTAGCTTAGAGGGCTGACTCAGGCCTCATCATTACCACTATTATCATTGTTTCAGTTATTATTGTTAATATAAATACAAGTACAGTATCAAATTAACTTAGCTGAAGAGATATAATGTAAAAATAAAACGAAACGCGCTTCCCTTAATTTCGATCATGGGAGCGATGGACCACAAGGAAGGAAGGAGGCTTTGGTGCAATGGTTTGATGGTGTCAAATTACATTGACAAATAAGGCTCACAAAAACAAACAGTTTCAATTCAGTGGACTACTCGTAAATTGGCACAAATATCCCACAGTTTACTAATGCTGGCTAACGCAAATGAATGAAATAACGGGGCACAGAACCTTGGTATGATAATATAGCAATTTGTCTCTAATCGAACTACCAAAAATCATTTAATGGTACACCTCTCGTCTTCAAGACTTTCTAGCTTCATTAAACAGTGAAACTAGACTCGTTGAAAGTCACCTCGAATTCCAAACCAACTTCTTCCACACCAGCTTTTTTGGCCCATTTCTGCCAGAAGTCAGGGTCATCCAAAGCAATATCGTTCCGATTGTCGGAAATGGAGAAAGTAGCCTAAAAAGTTGCATGAATTTGATTATATCGAAAGGAATTCACCATCCACACGATGAATAGGATACCTTTGAGAAAGTGGAATTCTTTTCCCCTTGTTCCAGTTGTACAACATGCGACCGTGATTGAAGAATTTGGTCAATATCCTCCTCACAAAAGTCATCTCCCGCCTTGTCGTCATCCATTAGGGCTCCATAAGCACCCTTTTTAAGAAGTTCCTCCACCTCCTTCTTGCTCAATTGTGCTTGTCTGGCGTGAGCGCCCGTTGATTGGAGAACTGCCTTGTCTAGACCCAACTTTAACGAGGCTCGATCAAACATCTCCCTCTCATAGGTGTTACGTGTGATGAGACGGTAGACCTTCACCATCTTTTGCTGACCAATACGATGGCAGCGCGCCTGGGCCTGGAGATCATTTTGCGGATTCCAATCGGAATCATAGATGATCACTACATCGGCCGCTGTTAGATTAATACCCAGACCTCCAGCTTTGGTGCACAACAGAAAGACGAACTTATCGGGATCTAGGGAAGATAACGGGAGCATCGATTTCAAAGTTTGCATAGCTTAGAATGAATGGAGTATTAACAATCCAAATCTCGAAAGCCCCGATATCACTGATCACTTAAAAGCATACCCATAAACTACCTATAAAATAAAACCGAAATTGTGTAATTTAAACCTATTACATCACCAATAGCCACATGACCCCATTTATCAAACAAATGTGATCTGAATTTGATTCATTTCGCCTTTGGAAACAGCAAACCAAGATGACGTAAAAATACGTGACTCCACTGACACATGTGAGGAGGTTCAACTACCTCAGAACGAAAGCTCCAGAAAGTTACAACTCACAGAGCGTAAAAGAATTTGGTCCATAAGGAGAAAATGTGCCACCTTCGCAAGCAAAATGGACACGGTATTTTTCTCAAATTTTTGTTAGTGAATCTTTTGTGGCTAAAGTTAAAGGGAGCGCCTAACCTTCACTAACAGTGTTCTCTGTGTGACCAAGAGGGAGCCGACCTAACAGTTAAACCTAACTGCAAACTTAGCACATAGCATTACCTATTACCAATCCCTGAATTGAAAAAGGCAAATGCTTCACAAGTAACCCGGACAGAGAAGTGAATGACCTAACATCTTAACGATAAATTAAGCCTATCGAATCTCTGTTGCCTGAAAGCTTTTTGCAGCTCTCATCATAACCAACGATGCTTTCGACCGAGGTTCATACAATGGAGCCAAAAATTGTAAAGACTGCTTACGTCAGCAGACACTTGTGTTCTTTTAAAGGATAGGCTCACCTCAAACAACCATGTAAATCAAATTAACTAATACAGTAAAAGGGCCCAAATAAAGTTAAAATCGCATGGAGTCTAACCAATTTAATTAGGTTTTACAATGAGAATGCCAATGATTAACCATATGTATACGCACATTCATTTCTAATCAAATAAACACAAACAGAGACCAACAACAACTGACTAAATGAGAGAAATTAAAGGCCAAATCACAAACAACCAACCATTGCAGAAACGATCGATCGCCTCTTGCCGCATCAGTCCGTGGATGCGTCCATCAATGCGTTCAAAACTAAAGCCCTGGTAGACCAGATAGTCTTCCAGAATGTCCAAAACACGAATCATCTGTGAGAAGACTAATACCTTGTGTCCACCAGCCTTCAGCTTAGGCAATAACTTGTGAATGAGCACCAGCTTCCCCGAGGCATTCAACATGGCGTTGAACATCTGCTGTTCTTCGTTATAGGGCTTCGAGGGGTCCGCTTCAGCCTGAATTAAAACATCTGGAGTAGTTCAACAAGACAAAGATTTGAAGAGAAGCAGGAAGCTTTATCGTACCAGGACTCTTTGTTCGGAAAGGATAGCCTCCTCAGCTCCTTTAATTAGAAAAGGATGGTTGCAACACTTTCGAAGTTCCATCATCACGTTCATGAGATTTGGCATATTTGAGCCGGTGGTGCCTTTGCAGAGAAATGTGAAGTTTCTTTCCATTATCGCCCGGTAGTACTTCTTCTGAAGGTTTGTCAGTTCCACCTAAACAACACGTTGTTAGTCAATAAGCTGCCCTCAATCAATGACTCGTCAGTAGACATTACCTCAATTATGGTTTCCTCCTTGGGAGCAAGACTCTTTTCCACGTCCTCCTTCAACCGTCGAAGCATCATAGGCTTGAGAAGAGTCTTCAAATCTTCCACCTGCTGTTCTGTCTTTAGCTCACCAAACTCCGCCAAGAACGTGGAAGCACATGCGAATCGTTCTGGTTCAAGAAAGTTCAGGAGACCAAATAATTCTTCCACGTTATTTTGCAATGGTGTCCCTGTCAGCAGCACTCGATGATCCTGTAAGGCGATGTGAAGCCCATAATCAGTCTCCCACGGCTAATTAGAGAAGTCATCTCAATTAAATAGATGGTCATGATGGTAGATGCCGCCCTTGCGCGTTGATCTTGCAAATACACAAAACCAATGTTGACAGTAACGTGCACAAACAAGCCTCTAATATGCGTGTGCAAATGAATGCATGTGCCAAAAAACCTGAGAGCACTCACCAAATCGAGGTAACGCAGCCCCTCACCAAGTTTGCACTTCTTATTCTTTAGCCGGTGTGCCTCATCAATGATAGCCACAGCCCAGTGCATCTTGCCGAAAAACTCGATGTCTGACATAAGTACCTCGAAAGTAGTGATAAGTGCATTGAATTTGTAAACATCGTGACGGTACTGTGAGTTGAAGAGGTTGCTACCGGAGACTGATAGAGGAACGACAGAACCACCGGTGGCCTTTTTCCGATGGTAAAATAGCTCATACTCCTGAATCATACTTCGACTAACTGCGCTGCCGTGATAGACAATAGCATTGAGGTCGGACCAGTTCTCAAATTCGCGTTGCCAGTTGCCCACCGTAGAGAGAGGCACAATGATAAGAAAAGGTCCAGCAACGCCGGCTTTGACCACTTCCAAGAGGAAAGCTATTGATTGTACCGTCTTGCCCAAACCCATCTCGTCAGCTAGAATACAGTTTCGTTTGTTGTACCAGCAGAAGGACAGCCAATTAACTCCCTCTACTTGGTATTCACGTAAACGGTTATCGTTTCGGTAAACCTCATCTTCAGTGATTGGACGCCACACAGACGGGTCCGGTCGAATAATCTGTTCCATAAAAACACTCGCTTAAATATGTCTTGAACCTCAACAGTGTGAAAGACACCTCACATACCTTGTGATTGCTATCACGAATAACAGGAGGATTCTTCGGTGGATTTCTAATGCGCATGTACTCCCTGACCTTTGCAGGATCAACATCTTCAGCTAGCTCCCAGGTAGCGTCCTCATAAGGCAGAGATCGCCATTTCACGAGGTAGTAAGTGACCGTAGCAGGTTGTTCGTCGTCCAGTGCTGGAGCTTCGTCCTGCGTCTCAGACTCTACAGTGTCAGGAGTGTCCGCATTCGTGGTCGCCGCCTCGTCTTCCAACCCCTCCTCGCGTATCCGAGACCTCGATGGTCGACCACGCTTCTTCCGGCTCCTCTGCTGACACTGATGACGCTTGATTGTCCCATCGGGGTTGAGAACATCGTCGGTGACAATATCCCCGCTGACGCGATCGTAGATGCGGATGTCAAGAACACGATCTACTTCAACATAATCGGGATTGAAGAGTACCGTTGTGCCATCGTCATCGTCAGCGCTTGGTGGCGGAAGGGGCTCCGTGCCATTCTTGGATAAAAACTTCTTTAATTTCGTAGCGATCCGTGGGTCTGTAATCTCATCCAAAGCCTTCCACTCGCAGTGCATGTAGGAGCTGACAAGTAGAAAAAAATACCAAACCCATTTGTAAAAAGTAAATGTGCTAGCAATGATAATGTTAACTTACAATCCTTTGTACTTTAGATAGAACTCTTCGACTTGTTCTTCTTCTTCTTCCACCTCTGCCTTTTCTTGACGTTGACTTCCGTCCACTCGATGTTCCAATTCCACTTTCCCCTCACTCTTTTCACCATAGAGGCTCTTTTGCATATTAGCGTTCAGTCGATCCTCCTTCGGAGAAGCACAGCTTTTCTCCTTCTGCTGTTTCTTCACGGGTCGTGTTGACATCCGACGGCCGAGAATTTTCTCAACCACCTTCACGACGACAAAATCAGCATCCTTGGGTAAAAAAGAGAAATTACTATCAATGAAAAGAAAACAACCCTACTTCATTATACTTACAGATCTTCTTCCAGAGCCCTCCACGGTCTCACTGTCGGATGCGTCGACAGAATCACCTCCTTCACCGTCACCGTCATCCGATAGACCAAAATCGACGCTATCAATTGTATACTTCTTCCTATCAGTCCCTCGTCTACCTGATCTTCGTGCCTAAGAAAATTGAGTAATAAGCAATTCCGGATTACATTCCAAAGAAATAACCAAAAAACTTACAGAAGTATCAAGAGAATTCCCATCACCGAGTTGGGGATTAATGCTATGCGAGGAAGCCACTGTGTGAAGGATAACACGTGAAGAGGCTCCACCACCTCCATCATCATCAGAATCTGAACCATCTGACTCGTCACCATAGTGGTATGCTCCGCGTCGCTTCTTCTTCATCAAAGATTTCAAAGATCTAAAGAGATTGAAGTTATCTGGGAAAAATTGCAAGAGAACCAAACCTCTTCTTCTTTGGGCGTGAAGCTCGCAGACGTGGTGGTGGTCTTGGACGCTTTAGGAGAATCTCTGTGGTTTCCTCGGTAGTTGTCGTCGTTGTTGCAGTAACAGATTCCTCATCCACTTCGGTGGGAGCCACCGAAGCAGCCATTGTATCCTCGTCATCACCACCTTCCAAAGTTACAGAAGACTTAACCTCTGAAAGTCGTGAATTATGAAGGTTATCCACTTCAGTTTCCTGTTTATTTTCATCCAAATCGTAGTTCATCGTAATCTTCGAAGGTATTATCTTCCGGCGTGAACGCTTTGCACCACTTGAGGCCGATAAATTGGCTTTTCGTCGCCCTGTGGTATCGGTCCCTTTAAATGACTTTTTTTTCTCCGTAGTGGGAAGTGGTTTTAAGGAACCTGCTTCCCCTTTGTCTTCTGACTGCTCTATTTTGCGTTTTCGACCACGTAGTCGTTTCTGAGTTGCCTTGCCAGCCTCAAGACTAGCTTTTGACAAAGCAGGAATCGAGACCTCACCAGGTGCTGACTGTTCCACGCTACATAGTTCTGTGGACTTAATCTCCGCCATCAAGTCCTCCTCTACTTCTAAGGTCTCTTTTGGAAGAATTGGAGGGAGATTATCGTTACTGGAAGATGCTGGAGGACTTTGAATTGGAAGAGGTGATTTCAAACTTGGTGGCTGAGGGCTACCCTCAGGTACCTATTGGTGGAAATTGCAAAAAGCGCTGACACGACTTGAAAGCACAAGAGTTTAGCACTGTTTCATACGTCACCCGAAGATGCACTCCGGTGCAAATAGAGAAATGAAGTTGAAAATAACTATCATACACAAGGGATGCACTTTACAGTGATTTGCACATATTAATATAGAACAGAGTTAGATATAGTCGAAATCATGTGACTACTACCCATTACTGCATTGGTCATCAATCACAGGAGGGAGACCAACATTAGAAGTTGATCATACCTTAGGGGGTGGTACAAAAAGCGCATGAACAACGAACAAGCTTCCAATCAAGCAGCGGGTGTTGTGCAAACCACATGAATGATGAAAGGCGAGTCATGTTGTGCATTCATTGCACTCATGAATTGAAACCATCAGTGTCCAAAATCAACAAGACATGACAAAGCTTAAGTTGCGATTATTTGAGTTACTCAAGAGTTCATGCTTATGTCTTGATAGCATGAATAAATGAGGTAGAACAAAAAGCTCATTACTAACTTGTTCCAAACGAGGAGAAAATGCAGCAGTCTGCGGGGAGTTGACAAGAGAGCTTGCTAACTGAGAAGTGATAGGTGGTGAAATGTGGGACGAAGACATAATCGAGGTGTTGGCGCAGGGTTGAAGAGCTGACATTCCCAAATCGGGCGACTTAACACGAAGTGGGCTCGGGGTCAAAGCCTGGCTAACCGACGAATCCATGAAAGAAGACAAACGCACCTGGCTCCCCTCTCTCTCCAAAATCGCTGGTGACATTGTTTTGGGCTTGGCTACCGCTTGTCGGCTTTCAATGGAAGGAGAAGCATGGGGTGGCTGCTCCACCGAGGGACACATTTGCAGATTGCCAATTGCTGAAGCAGGTGGTATCGGCTGTTGCGATTGAGGCGGAAGCGATAAAGAATGGGAAGGAAGCTCGTTGGTAGCACCAACAGATATCACGTTTAGGGGACACTGGCTATTGACAAAACGCTCCAGAGCAGCTGGTTCATGCATCGGATGATGAGGGTAAGGTGGCTTAGTGACAAGTCCACCGCCACGCTGCTTCGAGGGACGCTTAACTGTCGCTTTTGGCAGCTGTTGACGAGGAATATTTGGTAGAACCCTAGACTGCTGAGCATAAGGATTTATTGGTTCGCCATTAACGGACATTGCATGTGACAAAGACTGTTGCTGTGGGGGTGGCGGCGATGAGAGACCCGAGTAGGTGCCTGGCGACAGTTCGCTGTGGCAATATGATCCCGGAGCGACTGAATATGGGTTCCCGGTAGAGTTTCGATATGACTGGTGTGTAGATGAGCCACTTACCGGAACCACGTGACTTGGGGGATAGCTAGCAACAGACATTCGACTACTGCCACCGCTTGAGTGGAATGTGGATTGAGGTGTGTAAGGATCAGACGGGTACTGTGGTGGCTGCTGAGTTTCGGCCCAATTTGCACCCATAGAAGGCTGGCCGGAAACCGATCTCGACGTTACCTGGGGATTAGCACTTGGCTGCAAAGGTAGTGGTGCAGCGACGTAGGGAGTTTCTGAATATTTGCCCCTCTGAGAATAAATGGGATGGTTGAAATAATACGGGTCCACATTGTACTGACCATTATAATAGGAGCCAGGAGACACATCCGAAGGTGTTGAGTAATGTCCAGAAGTAGGGTCCTGAAAAGTTTGATATGGGCGTTGTTGTGGGACTTGACTGCCTGCATAGACATCCTTTGCAGGGTCTTCAACAGTTAGCTCCTGAAGAAAACTCGAGCCTGAAGCATTAAATCCACTGTATGATTGACTATCCATGGAATATTTGTGCAGCAAAGCAGAAACTGAATGACGTGAGCCGAGACGATTTTTCAAAGGCTCACTGAGGTTTGTGGATAAAAAAATCTATTCAAAATCCAACAGGGTTATCAATTAAGCATAACGAGCAAGATTAGTGTGGAGCCCCGTACAAAAATGCATACAATAAGAGGAACGCGCCATTTTACTTTTAGAAAAAAGCGGCTTAATTTACAGCGCAACTAAAAAATTTCATCTTTTAAATGTTGAGCAACATGTAAATAGAAAGCATTTTGTATAAAATATTACGGGATCATAGATTCGCATTCTTTGTTTTGCTACCGCCTTGTAAATTATGTTCTTTGATATGCAACTAGTTACGGATTGCTAAGTTTCAATTACTTTAAATTTTCGCGTATCTTTTATCAATGCTTAAAGTTAACCTTAAATTTCTCACTGTTCCCACTTTGCGGTCATAACTGTGACCTATAAGTAACAGCTTTGTCGAACTCACCCTTGGGATTCATCGATTGGGCTATTCATGCGCACACTGCAGCTCAAACTTTTCATTGACTCTTAAGTTTAGGCATTACTAAGGCATTTGTGCTCCTAATCCGACTTGGACCACATTTGGTGAGCCAAATGTGTTAATATGTTCTTTGTATTTAAAGTCAACAAACTTTTTGTTATTCTGAGTGCGTTGCCGAAAATACCTTTTGTTTGGAAAGGGGGAGGAGTCTTAACTGCAAGAACTCTGTAATAATCGGTCTTATTTGTCTATTTACCTCAAAATTCTTTTAGTATCTTGACAGCTTCCTTATGGACCTTAAATGCATATTGTTTGGGCCAAATTTCATGGCTGCCAAAGTTACCACTTTCCATACAAGTAGTCAAGTAAACAAAGTATTGTATTTTGTTTCCAGGCAAATAATGCGAATGCAGATTTTTTTACGACCTCGATTCCAACTTACTTGGCTAGGTCAATTTGGCTTTAAGAAGCACCAATTGAAATGGCAGTCAAACTGCAATCGCCCTTTTTTGGTTTCTACTCCAATATTTTAAAGAAAGAAAATGCGTAATTCTCGAATGGTTCACCTGATGCATTAGACTTGCAATATCAGTTTCTTACTCAAAGTCATTTTTGACTTTTATCAAGAGAAGCGGAGGAGTCAACCTTTTTGTAGCTCTTGCCACTAGCGACGGACACCACTCGGGGTTTGCCTCCCGCACCCACAAAGGGTAAAGTGAATCAAGCGTTATGGGTGATGTATCTTTTCTGTTCAGCGAACATGCTGTCTTGAGGACGCCAATACCTTGGCTTTTGTTCTAATACTACCCGCATACTCCTTAAACTAGCCCCTTCTTTTTCAGCACCAGCTACTGTCTTATGACCCATAACTTGGTGCATTTTCTGCCAATTCTTGAAAACGGTGGACAACGAGCAACCCCAAACAGAAGTTACACTGGTAGATAGAGCCTCCATTTCTCTGGTCTTACGTGGTAAGACGCATCAGGGGTTGACCATACAGGGCCATAGGACATAACGAAGTTGCTGTCGGGTGGACTCATTGTTTCACCCATTCACCTCGTAGTCGCTCCCTGAAGTTTCATCTCATACGAGCATGCTATGATCAATTGTCCCTGCGTTCACAAAAATCTATTAAATATTTTTTTCTGCTGCCAAATTTTTTGTTCACTTGTTTTGCATAAAATCTTGAGCACCTCCTGCTAGAAGTCACGATAATCAAGTGAAAGGATTTACTGCGACATGAAACCTCATGACGATTCTTAGGGTTCAAGGGGATGCCAGACGAAGCAACCAACTCCACTAGCAGACATGAGCGACAATCACTGGCAGGGTGCTGGCGCTGAGCGATGACAACGCTGACACTTGCAAGAATCCCAAACTAGATGCCATTTATTTCATTTTTACGCGGTTCTCTAACTTTTCAACTTAAACATCTTAGTTCTTTGTTGATTCATGCAAGAAGACCGCTTTAATGAGGGTGCCAAGCCGCAGTGCCCACTATAAGCGGTTGACTCCTAAGTCAATGGAGCTACGGAGCCTGAACAACCCCTCAGGTTTTCAAAAGGAATGTGGCTAACCAGACCAACCAAGGGCATACAAACTGGCGTCTCTGTGATCATCAACAGTGATGTTCTCAGCCTTCAATTCAGAGGGGTCGTCTTGATCGGTCTTAAGACCAGAAAAGATATGGACTTGCTGTCCAATTCTACCGTGCAGACCATTCTACAGAATAAACATTACGAATCCATCCTTAAACTTTTACAGTGTCTGAAGTTTTCACCATCAAACTGCTCGACGCCCTATCAGCACACCCTCTGTTCTCGAAGCCTTAAGCATTTACGAATTCTAACCTCGTATGATCGAGTTTTGTGTATTCAGCTTGCATTATTTCATGTATGATCTGTCATGTGTCGCGATATCCAAATGGGCTTGGACTGGAGTGGCGTATGCATCCGCTTCTATGATGGCATCTGTGTGGCCGTTTAGTAAGGAAATAGATAACTGAGCTTAGTTTTTTTGTCATCCCTGCCGATGGCGACATCGTGGCATCTTGACAATACACTTGTCTTGTCGATCTTGTGTTCTCTCCATACACCCACTTCTTTTTTACTTAATCTCTCCCACTTGGTCCTCTGACTTGTCTCTCGCCTTCCACCTATGAATTTCAAGCAATTCCCTTTTCCTTGTTCTGCGTTTCAATGAATGATACAAATGATAGTAAATATCTATTTACCTACTTACCACTCCTTCTTAAGCCTCTGACTTAGATTAACTTGGATGAATACGCGAGCCACAGCCCCAAAGTTGGAAGTAATTCAAGTGAAAGGTCGTAAATATCTCGAAAGTAGTCATTAAACTTAAATGTTCGCACTTTCAGTGTAAGATAATTTTGCTTGAAATACCGGAAACCATTGCCAAATTCCTACCTATCCATCGTTTGAGAAGACAAAGCTGAGGCTGCAAAATTTTGCATTGCAAAAGTAAATCTACACTTATGTACATATGCGTGAAGTAAAATCCAGAATTAACTTCGCACCTTTGTACCAATGGAGGCGACAGCTCGCAGAAGCGTTGCTATTGAATCACTAAGTCAGAAGGAAGCAGACGACAGTCAGTACTAATGCTACTATAACATTATTAGTAGAAGGGAATTTTTCACTCACCTGAACAGATGGGAGGCTCCAGTTGTGCCAGAGAAAGGTGTAAATTAGCATATCTTCTGTGAAGAGGTTCATTTTCAGTTGAGCAAAGACATCACAATAATTTGGCAGATTCAGTCCGTCTGGCAGCGCATTTGGTACTATCTTTTCTGCATTTCTGATCAGTGGTTTTAACCGAAGTTTTGCATTGAAAGAAGCCAAAGGTATTGCAAGGTAGTGTCGAGCTAATCGACTCAGTAAAGGGTATGTTGACTGCCTTTCGCTCCACCACTGAAAAGGATCCGTCTGTACACCATGTTTCACCTCTTCACGCAAATATCGATCCACTTCACAGTGTGCTGTGTGCACAAACACCTCATCCTTATCCCTCAACCGACTCAACTCCTCGACCTATATTTTTGACAAAAAAAGTTTGACCAAAGGTCGAATTGGTAGCCTAGCATTAGAAATGGTGTGCTCACTTTTTCCTTCAAAAGATTAACAGATTGCGGTTCAAATTCGTGAACCCGTGTTCGCACTCGTGGGTCGGTCAAACCAGCAATCAGTAAGAGGTCGGATATTGAGGCCGATTTGCGTGGATAGAATACATCCAACTTTTCATTCACCGCGGTCTTGAAAGCCCCTATCACCTCAGAATCCTCTGAAGTTGTCATTAAATGGGTCTTTCGGAGGTTAATCAGCATAAGAGTGATCAGAGAGACAGTAGCAGATGATGCTTCTTGTTGCGTTACGTAGTCAAGGCTCTTGCTAATATTCTGAAGAGGAATAGGAAGGAGGTTGGGTTTTACAACCTCTCACATGTAGGTAGAAAAGTAAGCCAATTTTGCCCAATGTCACCTCTTTCTTTTTCTCACCTCTTGATCGGCAAGTGCATTGATAATGAATAAGCTTCACCGCAAACTGCGACGTGTATGTGTACGCGCGTGTGCGGCGTTCTCTGCTAAATAATTCACATACCACGAGGTGGCGCTAAACGCGAGGCAAAACTCGATTGCAAGCAGCTGCTGCCACCCCAGCAGCGCAGAGGGGAGGAGAGGAAGAAGGAGAGAAGGGGAAGGAGGGAGAGGAATGTATCCACTACGCGTCGTGTGGCCCTTCGTTACGCGAGAGCGCCGACCCGACTCACGACCACATGCGTATGTATGTGTTCACGCCATGTAAATAATTCACACCCTCACACACACGCCGTCGATGATATTGGCTGCCAGTAGGAGGAGGAAAGGGGTAGGCAAAGCTTTGGACAGCTAACTCTCCTCTCCGTCTCCTCTTCTCACGAAAAGCTAAAATGCCTTCTCTCCTTCATCCTCCGATGCACAGGGGATTTATGGAGCAAAAGAAAGTATATGGAAGAATTTATCTCCTTTTCTAAACATGTTTGCTATTTCGTCCTGCCACTGCTAGGCAAAATTAAATCGGTAAACTTACATCAAGGAGACACTTGAGTTGCCATACATCCCCATTTTGTCGTTCCGCGTGGACTCGAACCATTAAGTCGGCAACTTCACGCCATGTAATGGCCTCCGTGGTAATGACACTGGTGAAATTTGATGGTAACCCTATAGCTTCTCTCATATCCCGTAGTAAGGCGACAACTCCCGGTGCTCGGAAGCCACTCTGTAATCGAGAAGAAAACAGAGCATAACTGGTGTCCTCTTCCAATAGTAGGTGTGATAAGCGACGGGAAAGGTAAGTCTGAAGTGGTCATTGCACCTAATACTTCCACCTGTTCAACACCCAAACTGGTACTAAAATTTTCAATATGGCGGTTGGCGCGTTTTCTGACTCAGAAATCTTCTGCCTCGAAATTCTGGCTTGTATCATATCTTACATATTCCTATTGTCGGCGACACAAAGAAAGTGCCCGACCAATATCACATTTCTTTCTAGGTTCCGATGCACTATTTATAGCGCTAACATTTTGAAAAAGCCTTTTGATTTAACCTACCGTTGATAAAGGAATGACCAGAGAGACATGAATGTCTTGGCCTTGCCTAACTCTTCCTCAGGGTCCCTTTCAGAGTTTGAGAACACTTAAAGCTTTGCAAGATTTTATGCATCACGTCATCCCTATCTTCACCCTGTTCCCACTTGTTGCCCATTTTTCCAACTTCACTATCTGCCATCTTGCCCAACACCATGACTTTGCTCGACTGGTCCATGAAAAAAGTAGACATTCACAGATTCTGTAAGCATCACTCCATGAGCCCAGGTGAACCAGGTAGACAAGAGCTCTAAATGGTCTAACTCACCGTAACAGACGCAGCGAGAGCTGTAACAAAGCAAGGCACAATGGCAAAGTCTTCAGACACAATTTCCTCAAATTCCTCCGGTCGGTTTGTCACCAGGACTCTGGGCAACAACACTGCCGTTTTTTCACTTGATCCAACGCAATCCACAATAATTTTCTTCACATCTCCTGGGCACTTCAATAATGCCGTTTGTAGTAAACGCCCTCCACAGCCTACGCTTAGGTTGGCGAAGTTTTGACGTCCATCCATATTTCGCCAGAATTCAATTGCCAGACTACTTCGACTCATTGTCTGTTGTTGCTGGGTTGGAAGGACCGCATTTGCTATCTGTGGCAATATCTCCATTCTCATTTGTCTCGCAGTGATTCGAGGGACCGATAGAGCCTTCTTCGAGCCAATTAACTCATTCATGAGGGTCTGTATGGAAGAAAAAGAGTAGATTGAGGTTTGGAGTGTAGTTTGCTTAGGTATATGGTTCGGCTTTAATAGCAAGCGTATGTACGCAGAGGCGTACTTCACTGCTAATTCTGCCTGACGTAACTACTGCTATTGCTGTTGCGTTCACTGCTAATCTGGCGACAAAGGGAAGACAGGGGAAGACGAAAAATTGGCTATGGATAGCTGGCTAGCTGCTGCCAGGGTTCTTGTTTCCCTCCTTATCTGATGGCTACTCAGGCGCCTGGCCCAGGAGAGGCGAGGCTACTGAGGGTGGTGGCTAAGTAGGTAGGCAGGTAGAGACGAGATCTCGAATTTGATAAGGCCACACGAGTCTTCTGCTTGCAGCAGTCAACAAGTGCTGGCGATGTTTGATGTCATCCTTCCATCCACCCTGCTGTTACCTCCTCTCCCTCCTATCCCTCTTCTGTGCGTTTCATTAAGCGGCTGATTAGGCGATGGCGACTAGTAACTAACTAGCTGCGTGAGTGAGTAAATGATTATAGCTTGATTGCCCACTTACCTACTTACTTCGCCTCCTTGCCTGTCTGCTAAAATCGAAGAAATACAGAGGTCGCCATGCTTATTACTCACACTGCCCACTTATAAGTGGACCTGTTGAGAAAGGAGGGGGAAATGAATGGTTCTTCCTTCCCTTCCCTTCCCTTCCCTTCCCTCCCCTTTCTTCCCTCCCCCCGAGTATACACGAAACAGAAGTGAAGGGTGGTGGTGGAGGGAGAGAAGACAAAGTCCATCAAGGCAAGGAGGAAGGCAGAAGATAGATTAAGGCGCCGATATGCAGCCCACGAGTATCCACTAACGCTGGCAGTGGCAGTGATGATACACTTGATGATAATTCCTGAGGAGACGCAAAGTGGTGGTGAAGTAGCCATCTATCAGAGGAACGCGAGCGCTAATGGATTTAACACACACCCACACACATACACACTACCTAGACCCTATCTCCTGCCTGCATCACATTGCGAAAGTTGTGGAAATCCGGGAAGGAATAAATTCTGACGCGAGGTCAGACAGGCAAAGAGGATGTTTTATTGCTAACGCAGTTAACTTAGAAGCAGGCAAATTAGAGGATGGTTGTATGGGTATGTAGATGTGAGTGTACACTTTGCCCTCCTCAATCACATGCGCTGACGAGCAATGGTGCTCACGAGTTTGGGGGCAGATGAGGTCAGGCAGTGCGAACTCGTTTGTACTGTCATCCTCCCGCGCAATTTTTCACCTCCTACTACACCGTTTAAAGCTCCTTCCTACACTATGAATACAGCTCTGCATTAAATACCACATCATGGACCCTTTGTTTGATTTCTATGTGCCTACTCTATCCTCTTATTCCTTACGCATTCTAGGAGAAGGAAGTGAAAGTAGAATATAGCCAGCACCTTGTTTCGATAACTTTTCACCTCCTTCTCTGCAAGCATTACCATTTATGATGCTCACAAAGTTGATGAGTAGATCCTCCTCCATGTTCCACAAATGCAGTTGTGTTGCACTTTCTTCGCATCAGTTCACGACACTCCACCAATTCTGAAGAAGACAACACTTGCACACATCCAACTTTGAGCGCGTGAAACATGTCAACCGCAGATATTCAGCCTCTGGTGTGAACATGGGGCAGTCTTCCAGGACTGAAGTGGTACTTGTCTCAGAAATGTGTGCCTATGTGCGCGTGAGAGAATAAGCTCGAATGCTTAACGAGTGACGCAACAAGACGATCCTTTTCTCGTCAAGTCAGTCAGTTGGCCGCCTAGTGTCCTTTCCTTGCCATTGATTTGACCCAACTCAAGGTGAATAATTGAGGAATTGCAACGGCCTTCTGTTTGTTATATTTTGTCAATACCAGTAATATCCACTTGTTTGGATTCTTCTGCTTCCACAATTGTCGTAGGTGCAACTGATTTGTTTTTAGTTTCGCACTACTTCGGCAATTTGTTCCTAAAACATTTTGCTGAGTCAGTCCTGAATTAATGCATCAACATTGATACATTTCTTGCTGCATTTGGTTAAGAAGTTGAGGACTTCTGAAAGATGGTGCGCCTGATAGTGAGTTCTGCTGCCCCACATTGAACCGCCTCTTTGGGTCCTGTCCGAAGACAAGTCTCCACATTTTCTAAACTGCAGGTTGGATAAACTTGAACTCTATGTATCAGATTCAAGCATTCAATACGAGGAGTCCAAGTAGCATGAAAGCAGTGAGCACAATGACAGACGTTTCATGCGCTTACTTACTTAAACTGATAACAGTGAACTGTACCGAATCATTACGACAAAACCCCATATCCTTTTTCTTGCTCACTCCATGGGAAGAATTCTTTGTTTCAATCCAGATAGACTTCGGTGAGGCTTTGGCCACCTTTTCCAATTTTCGCTCAGTGCAAAAAAGGGAGCGAAAGAAAATTATTAAGCCCACATAACTATTCACCTTCCATCTCCAGACCTTCCCTACTATTTCGGCCCCTTCCACTGTTTTGCAGTCTGCCAAACAACGCCCCCATACTTTGGAAAGGTCCAGCACCTTTTGTCTAACCAATTGCAGAACAGTTCTCGCTTCGTATCACACAACTCGCCTATTCCACAAGTTACGAAGAGCCGAGGAAAATGAGGCAAAGAGAATCAGAATCTTAGTGAGCATCTTGTTATGGAATGGATTTGTATTTCCTACTCATTATTAATGCTAGTCTGCCCCTCTTAGCAATTGTACATTTTTGGCGTCATTAAAGATTACAAACAAGTTCTGTGTTCTGGTGGAAGGAATTACCTCAAAAAAGAAAAGCAATCATCTAATACCCGAAAACATCCTATCCTCCCTAAAAGCGCCTTTTTTCACGTTAAAAGTGATAGAAATAAGAAACATCATCAAACCTTTGGTACTATAACTTAACAATAATGCAAACTATAGGTTTCACTTTGGCTTTCATCCACTTCCCTTTGCATCTAAACGATAAAGTCGATACCTCTTTAGCCGTCCTGTGTAGGCTTACCTTTGTCAGTAAGAGTTGTTAAGGTATCTCTATCATTCGAGGAGTTGGCCGCCATACTTAAGGGGGTAATTCAGGGAATGTTTACCTCTCGTAAAACCTAATATTTTCCTGAACGCATAGGAAGGCTTGTCAATCTGCCAGTAACTGCGCCTAATCGCTCTAAATTTATCTGAGTTGACAAGAAGAAGGGTTGGGTGGGAATGAAAAAAATACGATAGGGGTGGAAAAGAAGCAATGCATGATATGGAGCACTTATTAACTCACTCGAAAACCTTCCCTCTCAAGAATTTCCGGCGGAAGCATTTCACGGACAAGGAAATAGGCAAGACGTGTTTCCAAAGCTCCAGTTGACAACTCTTGGTGTTGGTGTCGCGTCGTTCGAGGCATACTCAAATCCTCTGGGCTATCTGGAGCACCTAAGCTGCCCTCCATGGAAGACCGTTTCTATGATGAAAAGGCCTCATTTACTAGAACGTATCTATTTTGGTCCATATAATGGCTAATCAAGCTGTCTAGTGAATTTCGCGTTAATGAACTACTGAATATCACTTATATAAGTACTCACCACTGCTCGCATTTGTGGAGGTATGTATACTGGCCGCGTACGCTTACGCTTTGCAGTACCTGTCATCAAGTCTACACTGCTGGAGGAAGACTTGACGCTGGACGACAGCATTGAGGGGGTAGATGGTGACGCTGTCGTCGGAGCACCGGTTATCAATGCAGTGGACGAAGTAGAAAGCATTGGTGGTGGTGGTGGTGGTGGGGGTGGGGGTGGGGGTGGAATGCAGCCCTGTGAAGCTAGAAGAGCCTGAGATCTTGAAAGAATGCTCCACATTAATGGAGTGTTGTGTACCAGAGTAGAGAGCAAATCAGGAGACAATGGCGGCACTGGCAGAGGCTTTGAATTACTTCCGGCACCCGCCTGCTGTGCTGTCAGACCTGGGAGACTCTTTAACAGTTCTTCCATTGATGCAAGGTTTCCTGGAGATGTAGGATTTGGAACAGTGGCATTGGTGTTTATAGGTGAGGTGGTGGGGACCCGATTTCCATTAGAGCTACCGTTATTTGCGGACTGGCTAGGCAGGCTAGTTAGAGTGGAAAGCCATGCTCGTGCCACCGCCAGCGGGCCGGAATCCTGACCTATCTGCGATGCCGAGTGAAGACGTTCCATTGCATCGTCGGTGTCGATGGATACAGAGGAAGAGGTTGAATTCGGAGGGACGAAAGCAGGAAAATTAGGAGGCAAGAACCCTGCCAATTGTGGCATCAAGGGTGTTGATTCCAAAGGAGGCGGAATGGGAAATAGAGGTGGAATAAGCGGGGCAGAAGTGGCAGTGGGAAGTTGTGGTAAGCCTCCGAGAAATACAGAAGGAGGAAGAAGACCGCTTGATGCTGCAGCCGCTGCAGCTGCAGCTGCGGCAGCCTCTGCAGCCGTTGCAATTGATTCTGGCGGTCCAACCACCTGAGAACTACCGTGCCTGCCCCCGGTATCAAGTCCACTCAACGCCAGAAAGGGCTGAAGCAGACCCACCTTTTGATTCGTCTGCTTTGCCTCGTCTTTCAAATGCTACAATAAACATCACTCTGACTATCGTGTCCGAAGTGGCTAAAAATTTTCGTTAATCGCTATGGTAACAGGACAATGGCTAGCGGAGACCAAATGTATCATTTGATTATGCGTAAATGACCTCAATAAGAAATGTATTTCCTTTCTGCTGTCCCCTCGACCTCCATATTTCTCACCACTTTTGCTTCAGCCGCTATTCGACTTGGAAAAATCAGTATTTTGAAGTTTAACTTATCTTGCTAATCAGCACCGATACATCACCTTGAACAACTTGGAATTGATGTCTACTCTGTGTGAACATTTGACAATTTCAAACTACACCACTTGAAAAAAGAAGAAACTAACCTTAGGAAATTCAGGGCGTCTCCAAGAGTGTGTAGACTTGGTACTGACGCAACTCACCCGAATACTTGAGTGGAGACAATATGCCTTACCTCGATCGCATCGACTTATGACCGCATAGTTGACAGTTTAATTTATTGGCATCACAGGGACCCGATGAGATCTTCCGGTTTATGTGTCACCCTTTTTCACCTTCTCTCGTGTCTAGTCTGGTGTGCTTTAGTTGAAGAGAGGGGGGGCGAGCAACTACGCAATCGTGTGAATGAAGTACCCCTAAGTCGGGTGACAAGACTGTCTGGAGAAAATTTTTCAAGATGACGATGAAGAACAGGTTGTGTCTATCGCACACAGCAGGTAAGGAGGCGTTAACACTTTTCGAGCACTATCAGGTCTACCTATCTAGCTATTAATTTTTCACATAGAATTCCACTTAGCAATCGCCTCTCTTTATTACCGAATTGGTCGCATAAGTTGGGATCAAATCAAGAAAGTTCTCTTTTTACAACAGGCCCATACAAAGGGGGAATTGAGTGCTCTCTGGAATTCTGGTTAATTATGTAAAACAAATAACATATCAATGACTTTAAAGGAAGGAGATTTAAATGAACAAAGTATTCGGGGGTGAGGTTTACCGCAAGTTTTCGGAGATCCTCCGATATCTGTGTGAAGTCAGTGCAACCATTGCTGTGACCGATTCTGGAGTTTTGAATTTGTGATGGCGGAATTGGCGGCAATGTTGCCTGTGCCGATTGCTGTTGGGCACGTGGAGGTGAATAGGATGCACTAGAAGCAGCACGAGATGGCGCTGTCTCCTTCCTTCGACTTGAGGTGCTACTCCGAACCCTTTGCGATTCTTCGCGCTGAGCTATTTCGCCATGTCGACTCTTCAAGTGGTTGAGCATTGTCGTAGTTGTGCCAGAAGCATTAAAAGCTAATTGACTCTTGCAGAGGAGGCATTGGGTCCGTGTTCTGTCCACCATTCCAGATTCATTCTCTGGGTGACGGAAGTAGTTCCATACGAAAGACTTCTTGTTACCTGGTTTCAATCGCATGGGCACGGTAGAGGGTGCAGAGGCGGCGGGGGTTGATGCGCTGATTGTCAAATCGGAATAAACGAAATGCCTCATATTGGAATCGAAAGACGAAGTGTCCATTTCAGAACTGCCTTCAGAGGGGGAGTGGACGGCTTGATTTCCCCCTTCAGCAGGGGAAGTCTCCATGAAGAAACTAGGGTTATCACTGCTCATTGCCTGCATGGCTTTGGTTTATGTTTATGCTTGTAGGAATGGGTGTGCGTGGGTGCGTGCGTGCCGTGGATGCGTGCGAGTGTAATGGACTGATCAAACCGTCTAATCGTTCCCTCTTTTATATCTCCAGGGTGTTCAACTCGGCTTCTCAAGTTGCGTGCGTGTGTGTGTGCATGCATATACACACACGCACACACACACGCGCACAAATAGGTGTAGACGCCATGTATGTGTGCTACGCACTCCACTAGCACGCACGCACCGTCACTGTGGCAGAAAGAAGAAGGAGGCGTGAAAATGCGAGCGAGCGAGTACGCGCTTACGCGCGCGCACTGGGGGTCGAGAGTCGAGCCTGGCCATTCGCACGCCGAGTTTTACCTGCGCGCGCCAATCAACAGCTCATATACATACACACGCACACATGCCACAAACACTCGCTAACGCACACATACTCGGTATGTGTGTGGGAGAAAAGCGCTCGGGCAAAGCTCGAATACCGTATAGCTATTGGACAACACCACTCCCGCATTCGATTGGTTTATTTATTTGGGCGCTTCAGTCCACACCTTCCTCCTTCGTTCTATCACATTCCAGTGATCTTATCTCCCTATGTGTGTATGTTTATTTCCCTTTCTTCCCGAAATAAAATATGTGTATATTGTTATTCAGCCACTCCGCACTAACGGTCTCCTAAAAAGTAGCAGGGTATATTATCTTGGGTTGATTGAACAAAGGCAGTCCTTAATTGTAGGTTTGGTGAACGAGCTAGCATTTCGCATTTACAACGAAATGCCAATTATAGGGAACAATGTGGCGAATGTTCTTAATGATTGGTCTTGTCGTGACGTCCTAGATATTTGCAGGTCTATTGTTAAATTCGGGTTGCGCAGGGAAGCGGAGTTTATGGGGTGTTGGTAGAATCGCTGGTCTTTTTATCCTGCCCTTCTACACGCGAGTTTACCATTCATTTGGGAATTTCATAAAGTGACAGCACGCATACTTAGACACTCGTTTTATATTCGTCCTACCTATCCCTACCCGCTTTTATGCACACTCAGTAAGTTCAAATAGACAGGCCGGCGATTTGAAACAATGCTGAAGGGCGTTAATTATTTAGCAAATCGTGCGAGGCATCGAGAGGTGGAGGGAGAAGCAGAGGGCAAGAGAGCGATGAATTGAGGCAGCCCAAATTGAGTTGAGACTGGGAATTAATTATTCACTGAAGACCAATAAATTGTAGACACCCCACTTACCCACCTTCCTGCACCCCATTCATTCTTCTCCCTTTCCATAGCCCCCAAAACATTGCCACAATGTTTGCCCACATAAAGTCCGGTTTTAAATACGTATGACTCGGTCATTCCTACTTAACAACAGATCGAATATGTAAAGGACATTCAAATGAAACTGGGATTTTTGTCCCAGTGAAAGCATAACTAATGTTATGGAGGCGTAAGTGGCATGGCTACCCTTATCACCACATATATATTGCTAGGTGGTCCTGGCAACACAAATCCGGAGGCAGGCAAGAGTGGTAACGCACGCATACGTGGAAACAATAAGGTGTGTTGATGAGCCAAGTCCTGTTAAGAAAGCTGATCACTTCCAACTTGACTAACTAACGAAGACTTCGAGGGCAGTACGTCATGGTGCTGAGAAGTCAGGCCGCTCACTCGTTACAAACTTGATTAATGTGAATTCTTCGAAGGTTAATGGACAGACAAACATGTGCGCAGACGGACGGATGACTGGATGGCTGTCTGGCCACCCATAAGTAGCACGTCATGACGATCAGAACCCTTTTTTGCTTTCCATTCCCACAAAGAAAATGTAGTCCAATCCTGCCGGAAAAATAGTTCACGTGGGACCAGTCCTTCATTTTAAGCACATAATCTGTGAATTTTGCCGTGACAATGGCGAACACAAAGTAATCATAAAAGTGAGTTGGTCATTGCAGGGCAAAAAATCCCTTTACCTTCATTTGACCGATCGAATAGTAATGACATTCCTTTTCGGGATGGAACAGAATTTACGGGAAGGGCACACACGCTTAGGTGGAAGCAATACGTAAAATAAAATAAGTGACTTTTCCAAAGAAGTGAATCTGGGATTTTCAGGGATGACTTGATCAATAAGGGTATTTTTCAAGCGAAGAGGCGATCCAACTGCACTCTTTGCACGATAAACGTGCATGCTACGACCTGCTTACGTGATCCACGAAATGGAGTGAGTGGATGTGGCTGACCTACACTAAGGTGTTTGAGAGGACTTGTTGAAACCCATTTATGCATCCTGGCCGTACTAAGAGGGGGTCAAACTTATTTATTGATCAATGTCGGAGCAACAGAAGGTACTGAAGGGGAAAAAAGGACTAGAAGGTGGAGGGGTGAAGTCTACACGTAGACAGCCAGGCAGCCATTGAAGAGTGCGAGAAAGACACGATATAATGTTGGCAAGACAATAATCACGCGAACCCACGCCTGAGTGAGCACGCAATGGGGTCATTTGAGGTCGAGTGTAGCAGTTAACCGGTGTTTAAGGCATAGCCAAGCAGGCGAAAACATACAAACATACACGACACAAACACACACAAACATTCACTGTTGTATTTGCATTTAAGCATGCATACAAACACTTGATGGGCGGAGTGAATAACCCAGAGGGCGTTAGTAAGAAGAAAAGATGGCAAAGGCTGAAAAAATCAGCATTCCATTCGGTTTTAACAGGGACGAATGTGGAACGATTTTAAGTACTGATTTGGTTTAGCCTTTGCACAACAGTATACCCAGCCTTGTATCTCTTCAACGGGCCAGAATTTGGACTTTAGTTTAGTCGATATCGCCTGCTCTCCATTCAACAAACCAGCAGTTCACCCTTATACAAAGTCATCTGCTACCTATCTACGCACTATTCGGCTCTCAATCCACCTATTCACTCAACCATTCAGTGTGCTCAAGAAAGGATTTTTATTTTTGAATTTTGTCCAAAATATCTACGTCAGTTAAATAGACTTTCAGAGTTCAAAGTCTTGACCCATGCAGATGCATTTGCTGAGAGCCCACAAAGTTATCAAGTCTTCTTCCTGCTTACCAAAACATTCAGTTCAAAAATTAATCTACACACAACCCGTTACAAGGTCCATTCTACTTTAGAGGGTCAAAGGGCGTACCATAGCAACTGCCCATAATACAAAATCCAGCTGCGACTAAATCATGTCTCCAAAGTCCACTATTAAGGTGAGCTTATGGTCTCTCTTCCCCAATTCGACTTTCTCGGCCTAAGGATTTCAAACTGGAAGGTAGAAAAGAGAAGTGACAAAGATACTGTGCCATTTGGCAGTGTCAGCGGACTCTTCCTCCCCCATTAAAGTCTATCTCATTAGATTCGACCTCTCATTCATTAAATAAATTCTACTGCTTTTGAAGTGTTGCATTACCTGCTCCTGAGGAAAATATTTAGGTAGCAAGTTTATTTCTTCGTACACCATTACTTATTCCTCAGAGACGATCCCAACAAACGCGTTGGCTCTAGTAATGCGTCACCACAGCATAGATGGATTCGCCGCCTCTAGGAAGAAGCGCTACTCTTGAAAAGGCTGCAGAATTACGTGTTACTTAAGAGTTGTGTCGAGATTATGCAGTCAAGTCTCACCCGAGTGGTGCAACAAACAGGGGCAAAAGTTCAACGACAACTTTTCACCCACAGTAGACCATGCTGATAATTCATTCGGCCTATTTAAGCGCAGCCGTAAAAAGAACTAGTCGATGAATGACCGAATAACGTATAATAAATGTGGCCTCTATTTTTAAACAGTGGCGATCTCATCAGATTGAAACCCCCCCAATTAATGCAGCTGGGTTGTGTTCGAAAAGACTTTTCATTAATAGTTGGAATCGAAATTTGAGGAAAAGAAAGCGGCATTTTTCCTGAACAACCAAAAACTACACTTCATATATGGCATGGCTACGTGTTTATAGAGAGTAAGGGAGTGGAGGAAAAAAGGCAGCATAACCACTGTTCGCCATGCAGTGGACATCATTTTTTATTTACATTTGGCAAGCACTTCACCACATCTTAACTAGACAAATCGATTTGGGGGGCGAATGAGCGTTGGAAACTGGAGTAACAGGGGTCCGATAATATTGGACCTCCCAGTTTCCTTGATTCTCGTTGGTTTACCACACGTAACCGGGCTTATGAAGTTGACATCTTTATGCACGCAGGGAGGATAATACGACTTTGCAGCACGGGAAAGCAAGCACTTTTCAGACCTCGTCCTTTTGATCGAAATTTCCTTATTTATCTTTTATACTTAGATGTGACGTAAGAGATTGATTAGTACTTTGAGTGGAATTCTACAATCTCCATTTAAATTGGAATCTTCAAGCCCACCTGATAGACGAGTGCCAAAGTTGACAGTTCCAAGATATAAAATTCTTCGATTTTCCAAAATTCTGGGTTGTCAAGGTCATACCTCCATGAGACTTTTTCACACATCTTTTTGTTATCGTTTGTTATAGTGGACGTTTGGCGTCTCAAATGGCATTTTCGAGTGATCGAGCCACATATATCCAAGCATCGGGGAGTGGATTAAGCGCGATTAGTTAGTCTCCAACTATCGTATTCGACAATGATAGCTAATCCTAGTTAAAGTGGCTAACTATGGAGCTGCATCGATAGCAGCAAAAGCAAGAACATTTGAAAGATTTGTTGATTTGGTGCATTCAGCCATACCTTAATTAATTCACTCGCTCGATTGCTCACCCATCATTCATGTGGATACGCACTTGTGTGTAGTACAGTGCATAGCATAGCTGAGCTAAGCTGAGTTGAGTTGAGCTGAGCAAAGCACACTTTGACCTCGAAGGTCATGTACAAACGCACACAACACCCTCCTACCCCTACTTATGGTTCAAGCCCGCCGCAGGCCCCCTTTCTCCCTTGGTCTCCACCACCCCGCATCTCGCCCCATTTTCACTTGAACAAACATGAAAGTTGTAGCTGGGCCA